TTATAAGAAGCAGCTTGCTTTAAACTATGTGTGGCTTTAAATGTAGCTTGATGGTCAACGTGGGGAAACGTTTGATCAAGTTGTCAGTATTGTTGTTGAATTTAATGCTATGGATGGATCTGTGATTAATTATTTATTTTGATAATTGTGATATGAGGTGTCGGATGTGAAGTGAGCAGCTATTAGTCTTAATTTCATATTTTTTTTTTTTTTTTTTTTTTTTAATTTTTTTTTTTTTTTTTTTTTTTTTGTAATTTTCAAAATTGAATATCTGGTTCAAGTTCGCTGTATTGCACTTTACGGCCTTGTCAAAGAAATCTGCGTTTAATTTGTAAATTAAACCCTATATGTGCAGAGATGTCAACTTACTCTACTTTCCAAAAAGATGTTTTCTAGTGGTAGCGAAATTTCAGATTAAAATTTCAGATCCATACCTGCCAACAACTACGCTCTTTGCAAAATATTCTATAGAGTGGAGGACATTTAAAAACCAAAGTTTCAGAATTTTTCGCAATTTTTCGCAATTTTGCAAACTTTTGAAAAACCTCACCGCGAGAGAGCCTTAACAAGTGGCGTTGCATATGAGCTTTTAAATCATTTATATGCAGTGACGTAGAAAATAAACTATAAAGGAATAAAAAATTAATAAAAACTATACATTGGACCATAAACTTAGCTACTACTAAAATAATTTTTTACAAAAAGAATAGAAAGTTGGTAGCCCTGCATATCAACAAAATGAAATTATCATACGAAAAATAACCTTGAAGCAGATATCTCAAGGTGACACTTATAAAGAGTGGGCGTAATTATTCTTATTTTACAAGTTATTATCCTTATACTTAATTATCCTTGTTCGTTTTACAGTTTAATTCTTTGCAAATTTATTAGGACGGAAAAGAGCAAAAACTGGTACAAGAGACAAATCATTATAGCACATCTTTTTCTTCGCGAAAATTAAAATTTCTGAAACTATAACGATTTTTTTAACAATTTCAACGTATATATAAAACTGCTTCTTTCCTGAGAGAAAGTACATATTATTGAATAGTGTGAAAAAAATAGATATAATTAAAATGGTTGTTACTACCAGATTCTCTTCTTTTCCACCTCACTTTAACTCTTACAATTTACCAATTGGTACCAATTAATTCTGTAAATTAATGGAATTTCATAGATGAATAACTGCTTTTCTTAGATCTAAATAACAGCAAAATTGAAAAATTATTATTCGGAAGTGAGCCGCTTTTGGAAAATTTTACATTTAATGCAAAGAAGAAAAAAAGAAAAAAAGGCACAGATGTTTCATGCTGAATTTCACGACCATAAAATATTAAAATGCTAAATATAATATTTTTCACTTATTTTGACTTAAATAAATACACAAAATAATGAAAAATATGTTTAATAAAAGTTCTCCGTCAAATTTTTTAACTTAAGCATTTGTGTATCTGACCTTATATATAACCGTTCTAATTATATATAGTAATATAGTATATATAATATTAAAATAATAAAAATAATTATATATAATAATAATTACTCTTGCTACCACTAAAAAAAATACTTTCTGGAACTCCGTAGTTGTTGGAGTGTCTGAACTGAAGTTTAAAACACAGGAATCGGATGGACAATCTTTTGTTAAGAAACTGAATAAAACTTTTTGAAAACATTTCCAGCACAGTCCGGTGTTCATTTTTAATGGAATTAAACTTTTTGCTCCAGCTCACACGACAGCTCTGATTATTCTCTACACATCAAACCGGGAGGTTGATCTTCCTTTTCCGGCACCCCCCGGGAATGGTTCCCTTTCGACACTCCAACAACCCTCCCTTCCCACCCATCGGCAAACATGGAAACGGGAAAAGCTCAAACATTTCCAGTTTTCTGGATATCAAGATTCAGCCTCCAGAGATTGTACAAGAGTGGCTTGATGTGAAGGGGTGGGTGGGAGAGATTCCACTGAATGGAATAAAAAAGGCACTCTTGGCGACATTCTCTGCTCCAGTTGTTCCATGGTGGTCGTTGGAACAACCCATGGTTAGATGGTCAAAGGGAGCCGATAGGTGGGCAGTATTGTCTAGACCTTTTGTCTGGAACACTTTTGATCATTCATCAGTTAGAAGTGGTTTGTTTTTTTGTAACATTTGAGATTCACACTCTTATAACACACTTGAAAGACTGAATCATCAGCGAGAAAGACATCAAAAGTTTTGTGGTGAAGCTTAGAAAATTTTATTTTTCTTTTTAATTCTTCTTAGTTGCCGAATTTATTCAGGAAATAAATTTCCGAGTTTAGGACATTTATTTCGGGATTTTTGAGCTCAACTCAAAATATAAAACAGGTGCCGTGTCATTAAAGATAAAATAAGCTAAAAGTTAAGAAAAAAGATATTCAATGCAGTTAAACCATTGTAAGTTGGCCACTAACAATGCATTGCTTTAGTGGTCAACTGAGACAGAAGGTCAACATATAGAAAGGGTATAAGCCATTGTTTTTTAATATCGTGTTATTCTATATACGTTATTATTATAACCATATGATCAGAACCGTTGTGGCTCAGGGGATAGAGTGATCGCTTCCCAATGAGGTGCCCCAGGTTCGAATCTCAGGGGTGGCTGGTCGGTACGAAGTCTGTACCCGACTCGCACTCGTAAAATATCCTTCGTGATAGATGGATCATGGGTTAGAGTCCCCTTGCCGTCAGACTAACCATAGGAGGTTTTCGTAATTTTCCTCTCCATGTAGCATAAATGCGGTTTAGTCACATCAAAGATTCCTCCACGAAGACGAAATACTCTCTATACTTGATCCAGACGTTTTCTTGTCTTCTTGGTTGAGCTCAAAATTATAAGACTACAGAGTTTACATTACACTCACAATTAGGTCTGCTGTTCAACGGGGGTTATAATAATACCATAAAGTTAACTCAAAAAAGAGGTTTAGGTTAGCTTTAATAGTATTTACCAATTCACTGAAATCTTGAAGCATAACATAAAAGCGGAGAAAATTTCCTGGATATTTTTTTTTTCTTGTCGGACCACTTATGGGTTCAGAAGAACATTCAATAATACCTCTAGACACATTTCGATTATTACAGTGATCAACTTGCAACATAGACAGGTGGTCAGGTTACATAGATTTCGGTCTCCTTTAATGCATAGGATGAATTCGATTTTTGGTAAAGGAGGCAAACTTAGGTGTTCAACTTGACAGGTTTACTGTACTCTTAAAATGATGAAAAAATGAAATAAGAACAGTTTTTATTCTTCTAAATGGTTTTTAAACAATTTATTGTTAAGCTTTAATCTGTGGTTGTAATTTGTTGTGAGTTTTAATCTGTTAGTAATTTATCAGGAAAATAAAAAGAAATAGCTGGTACTAAAATTATATGGTCCCGAGCTTAATTTGGATATGGATGGGAAATGGACCGTACGTATTTTTATCGACTTCAGAAGTCCAGATAAAAAATAAATAAAAAATTGGGATGGTTGCTTTCTTAAAGGAGTGAATCTGCGAGAATCTGAAAGGTGGGAATTTTGTTTGACTACAATGACTTATCAACAGTTATTACACATTAATTAGCATAAAAAGTCTCTGACAAGTATGATTAAAAAATTGCTACAATTCTAAAGTTTTATTAGGAACTATCCAACTCCAACAATAGTCACTTTTTCCCGATTTAAAATCAAATCCTCTATGAACTTTGCATTTCTCTAGTTGTGGTACTCACGAATATTTAACTCCACCCAAAATCAAATTCCCATTTGTTTCGCCATCGAATTCCTCTCGCCAGTTGTCTAGAGTACTATCGGTGACTATGGTTACGAGACTTAATTATTTCAAGTGTGAGAGAAACATTTGGGATAAAATTCAACTTAAACTCGTGTATTGCCATCGGATCATTCCTAAGAATTAATCCCATCATTATATCTCATAACTGTAGTTTCAGTGTCACCCTTAAAAGGTATCTTCTATTGCAATTAGAATTTTAAGTTGAATTTTTTTCGCACTATTTCCTCGAAAAGTTATTGTTTTTAACAAACATTTGATAATATAGTGCTATACGACAGTACTACACTGTTCATTAAAGATTAAAAATAGAGAGATAGCTTTAGGAAGAATTAGACGAATGCTTGATGACTTTGAGAAATTCTATAAAGTTTAATTCTCGGAAGTTTAAAACAATAAAATAAGGAGATTTGTGGTTTTGAGTAAGTAATTTTAAACTGCATTTGTTTTTAAAATTCTAAAAACTTAATTTTATTGCAGTTTAAACTTGTGCAAACAGATATGAATGAAATATTTTAGCTTAAATTGTAAAAAAATATATATACTTATCAAAAATCTAAAAACAAACAAGTGTATAATACTTTAAAAATAGCTAAATTCAGAATTGTATTAGCTTAATTTTAACTGAATAAAAACGAAGAGAGAATCTAAAATAATCTCGCACAATTTATAAGAAAATGTCAGCTTGCTGCGCTTTCGCAGAAAATTATTACTAGTGGCTGTAAAAATCATTTTTCAATGTATGATTCTTAATTAATTTGATCAAAATCGTTATTCCGCTTTACCACTGGTAAATAACTCAAGCGAAAATATAAAATGCTACTATAATCTAGATACATCGTGGTAAAGTCTTCGAGAGTTATAAAAATTTATAAAACAGAAATATGTTTAAAGGAAATATAAAAGCGTTTTTGTTAATATTTAAATACATAATCGTAATGCATTTAAAAATTGTATGGAATTTTCAAAAACATTTTAAATTTCTTCATAAAATTAGTTGACAAAGTTACATTTTATTAAAACAATTTGCAAAACTTATCAAAATATTACATGGAAAAATGAGTTGTTTCTTTTAGAACAAGCCCAGAGTATTGGAAATTATTTCATAACACATAACTTTCGTATCAAGTCTCTCGTCAAAATATCTGTATACTAATATTAATAAATTTTTTCACAACTATTATAAAAATATTTCGTTTATTTTCAGATTTGTTGGAGCACTTATGATTTCTAACGCAACCACCAATACACCAAATATTTAAGATGGCTGCCTCTCCACCTACTTTAATTCAACCCCCGTCTCCTTCAAGCAACGACGAAAGTCCCGTGCCATCAGAAGAGCCCAGCAAGATGACGCGAGAGAAAGAAAAGCAATCCCTGGCATTCTCCATCGCCAAGATAATGGAGCCAGGACCAAAGAAAAAATCAAACTCTCCCGATAAAGGAATCACACCACTGCTCAACGTGATGTTTGAAGATTTCAACAAAAGGATGTCTCTCATGAATCCACTCATGGTGAATCCCCTTCTAGCCTTCCCGCCGAATAGAGGTGTCGATGACGTGGATCCAATGGGCATGAACTACATATCAAGTCAACAAAGATATCCTCCGATGAACATGGACGCCATGTATGAGCTGGCACTCAAACGTCTCATGGAGAACTCTGGAATGCAAGATTTGAGGTGTCAGCTCAACAGCACTTGCTCATCCTCTCGTTTCCTCAATCAAAGATCTCAAGACCTCCTCAGGCACTACAGTTTCATGTACGCATCCTTACCACCACAGCAACTGATCAGAAACAATGGTGATTTACCGTGGGAAGAGGTACCACCAGCTCCCAATGTGCATAGTATGGATGCAGCTTCCATCCACAAGGTGATTCGTCCTCAACCAGTTTTTGCCACCACATCCACTGGCGGATCTCGCCAAGTGGAGGACACTAGTGACTCAGACGCTTTGTGCCAACCCCTTCCCAGCAGTAATCCGAACTCTAGATTTCCTGGGGAAGTTAAGATATCTTCAGAATCGTCTGGGGAATCAAGTAGTCCTGCAAGGCAAAAAAGAAATCACAACAAGCAAAAAACTTTCACTTGTCCCGAGTGTGGGAAAGTGTTTAATGCCCACTACAACCTCACTCGTCACATGCCTGTTCATACCGGTGCTCGCCCGTTTGTTTGCAAAGTTTGTGGTAAAGGTTTCCGACAGGCCAGCACACTCTGCAGGCATAAAATAATCCACACACAAGAAAAACCACACAAGTGTCATACATGTGGAAAAGCGTTCAACCGCAGTTCGACATTGAACACTCACATACGAATACACGCCGGATACAAACCATGGGTTTGCGAGTATTGTGGTAAAGGTTTCCACCAAAAGGGCAACTACAAGAACCACAAACTAACTCATAGTGGTGAAAAGGCTTATAAATGCTCGGTGTGTAACAAAGCTTTTCACCAAATTTACAATCTAACTTTCCATATGCATACGCATAATGATAAAAAACCATATACGTGCAAAGTGTGCGGTAAAGGCTTCTGTCGGAACTTTGACTTAAAAAAACACATGCGTAAATTACATGACGGTGGCCTCGCGTCGTCCAGTGTCAGTCATAGTCATGAAAACAGCTCAGGACAGGCTGTTGCAGTGAGTTTAATGAACCCATTCTTTGTGTCTCCGAACTCAAATGCATATATGGAAGCGCCACCTAGAATAGTTTTGTAGTACTAATTGTATATATAGGAAGAGGAATTTTGTATTCTACGCTTGTATAATAGGAACTCAGATGTTATGTTAATATATTAAAAATCTTAGTCAATTTCCAGCAGAAATTTGAATCGCGAGGACAAAAAAGAGTTAGTGATATAAATTGTTGGTTCTTTTAGTACCATAGAAACATTTAAATCCCATACATTGGAAATATTTAATTATGTACTGGCAATAGGGCTTTCTTAGTGAAATAAATATTCTACAGCTCTTTTACTTATTTATTTTATTTTTATTTAGTATTTCTTGATGTATATTGTTTAGTTTTAGAGTGAAATCATTTTTAATTTTAAATTAGGGGCTTCGCATGCAAGGCTTCAAAAATCACTTCGCAGTTTTGTTTCTTTGTAATTATTACTTTTCAACACGCAAAAGACTTTTTATTTAAGAGAATTAAAAAAAAATTAAATTTCATAAATCGCTTATAAAATATTTATATATATTAAAAATCTCATGTAATATATTCAAGCAGGCATGTCAACTACCACACTAGTGGTAAAATATTTCATAAAATAGTAGACATTTAATTACCAAATCTTTCAGATTTTTTGGCAATTTTGCCAGCATTTTAAAATCTTCACCACGAGATAACTAGAACAAAGAGACGTTGCATATGAATTTTTAAATCATTTTATAGTGGTGTGGAGAATTAGTTTAAATGAATAAACAATAACATATTAAAAACTTTAATTTTATTGACCTCACTTTAAGAACCTAAAGCACTTTTCTGCGGAATTACCACTTTTTTAACCGATCATGAAACTTGGTTCCCGGAAAAGGGAAAAAACTGGTAGTAAAACTATTTTTACATCTAACTTGTTTCCTGGAGAAATAAAAAACTTAAGCCTACCAATATTTATTAAAACTAATATCAAGATAGTTTTCTTAAATAGAAAATGACTTTCCGTGAGATTTGATAATCACGGACATTTATTTCAAGCGTGAACAACCTCGAAATGAATTAGTTATACTACCAGTTAACAGTCCTGACTCAATTCCCGCTGATATTAAGTTTGAGCAGAACTTTTAAATGATGTCATATCATTTTGAAGAAGTGGTTGGGAATTAGCTCTGAAGCTTAACCCCTTGGGGACGGGTGATTCAGAAAATCATTCTTACAAAATCAGAATCAAGATGTAATAAAATAAAAACGGTAACTTCGATGCAGTCGTTGCTAATTTGACAGACTTATTATGCTTTTACTTTAATTATTGTTAGCTTAATCCAATGTTAATTCAAAGTATAACTAAATAGTTTTATTTTGAACAAAGTAATGGTGAATTAAATAAATCAAACAATAATAACTCCGCCCACAAGTAAACTGCTAAAGAATTACTTTGATTACCAGTTTTATCTTTTGACCCTGATTGATACGGCTGTATGCTGGCACGTATTTGTGACAGTCGGCGCGAAAGGGTTAATTGATAGTTTCTAATGTGACTACTACTTTAGCTTTAAAAAAGTAGCGGAAAGACATAATTTTGGGTCTGAGTCTATATGCATGTACAAAAACATAGCTGCCATTGACTACGACACAACAATTGACTTTAAAAATGTTTTGCAGAAATGATTTTAACTTTGCAAACAACTTATATTTTTTGTAAAAACTTATAAAGTCATGACAACACGATTATCAATGAGTTATCAACCATGACAGATCCTTTTCAGGTAGGTATTAGTTATGCATATGCTGTGGCGGTATAAATAATTTTTAAGCAAATTTTTGTACAAATTTTTTTACAAATTAAATGTTAAAGTATGAATTTTGCTGTCACGTTAAGCGCTTGAGAAAAATCTGCTGCCCGAAGTAAGCGAAGTTGGTATGTATGAGGATATCATGATGCAATATGAACTATTTTGTTTAAGTAACAATGGGATTTATATAAAATTCTGAGAATATTTTAGAAAATAGATTGTAGAAAGACCATAATGAAAACAAATATGAGTTCGAGAGACGAAGAACCATCATAAGTTTCTAGACATGAAATATAAAATAATATGAAAGCAATAAATAATAAACATAAGTAAACAAATTCAAGAGACAGATGATAATTTCGGTTCTTTTAGAAACATCCTCAGTGCTGAGGCACAGAAAGTAAAATAATGTAAACATTAAATATTAAGCATAAGTCTACGAATTTGTGACACAGATAATTAATACTGTAATTTTAGTAAATAACATCACCAGTGCCGAGACGTGGAATGTAAAATAATAAAGAAATATACAAATAAAAATGTGTACACTTTACTAATTAAAAATCTTGGAACCATTATTAAAATAAATAATAAAAATATCAAATAATTATCAAATATAATTAAGAATTTTTTTTTTTGGAATTATCTTTGAGTGTCGGTTTCACTTTCGACCGAAGGGGCACAAGTTTTCGAGAGCTTTAACTACGTTGGGACCATACTTTTCAGATAGCGGCTACAGCCATGTTGTGATAGTCAATAGTTCCAATACGTCACCATTTTTTTTTTTTTTTTTTTTTTTTTTTTTTTTTTTTTTTTTTTTTTNTTTTTTTTTTTTTTTTTTTTTGCATTCTATTATAAGTCCTGAAACACAGAATTAGCAAAATGCGGAACACTTCTGTTTTCGTTTATATTTTTATAATTAACACCATCTTCGGCATGCTCTATTCAAAGTTGGTTAATAATTTGTTCATGTGTATTCTTTAAAAACGTTGGCGAAAATTGAAAAAATTCTCGAATTTAATTAAAAAAATTTTTACACCACAGAAATCTAAAATATTCAATTTCAAATAAAAAATGACAAAACTAAAAGAGAAAAAAAAATGCCAGTAACTGTACGGGTAGTTCAGACCAATACATGATGATCCTTTCTCTTGTATAGAGTGAATGGTTTCGTTTTCTTCTGTTTATTCTTTTTTTATACCCTTTAATCATTTTCCCTATTCTATTTGAACTTTCCAATTTAGGCTTTTCATTGGTAGATGGGGAGAAGTAATGAGGGGGCGGATAACACTCATTTCCAAAGAATCGTGACAAATTGACAGACTTGAATGAGATAAGGGGGGGATGAGGTTGTTTTTTCAGTGATCTGGGGGTGCTGATAATCCGTTTTCTAGATTCAATTGTTTCCGTTTGTCATTAGGTTATCCCCACTTTCCTATCTCAATGATTCTTGAAACAATCTTTTGCCACCCCCTTCCCTCCATATGATGTGACTGCTGAAGCTAACTCAAAATTTAAAAGAAATCTCTAAATTATGATTGATCATTGTCCTTTGAATCATAAATAATTGTGAAATTCATAAATGTGAAAACAAAAATTAAAAAAAAAAGAAAAATGAAGAAAAAAGTTTTAGTAGTATGCAGTGGTTTTTATATATATATATATATATATATATATATGCTGGATGGGCTTCANTAGATAGATAGATAGATAGATAGATAGATAGATAGATAGATAGATAGATAGATATTTAGTCTAAATTAAATATTGTCAAATTTAGTCTAAAAATTAGTACTTTAATGCTTTTTCTTTTCTTTTTTTAAATCATTTTTTGAATCAAAATAAAATGTTGCGTTTTTGTAGCTAATGCGAAATGAATTGATACAAAATTCTTAACTTGAGCAGGAAGTCTTGCAAAAGGTTTTTACTTTCCTTCTTAAATTTAGATTGCCCTAATCATACGTATTATCAATTTAATTAAACTTAAATTTCAATTGATCTACTTTTCTCTTTCAATAACCCTTTGATGCAGAATTTTTATTAAACATACTTTTCATGCTTTTTTTATTACTTTATATTAGTTTAGGCCAAAATAAGTGAAAAATATTATATTTATCATTTTAATAATTTATAGTTGCAAAATACAGCATGAAAAACCGGTGTCTTTTGCTGTTTTAAAGATAAAATCTTCCAAACATGACTCACTTTCAAACTATAATTTTTTAAATCTGCAGTTATTAAATCCAAGAGAAACAATTTTTCCTCATTGAAATTTCCTTAATTTACAAAATCAATTATTCAGGAATTTTTAACCCTTTCGCGCTGAATGTCACAAATACGTGCCAGCATAAAACCGTATCAATCAGGGTAAAAAGATAAAACTGGTAATCAGAGTATTTCTTTAGCAGTTTATTTGTGGGCGGAGTTATAATTGTTTGACTTCTTTAATTCACCATAACTTGGTTCAAAATAAAACTATTCAGTTATACTTTGAATTAGGATTGATTATATATATGATTAAACTAACAACAATTAAAGTAAAAGCATAGTAAATCTGTCAAATTAGCAACGACTATATTTAAGTTACCGTTTTTTATTTAATTGCAACTTGATTCCGACTTTTTACGAATGCTTTTTTGAATTACCCGTCCTCAAGGGGTTAAATAATAAATAAAATATTAAAAAAAATTTAAAAAATCGAACTTTTTTTTAGCACAAATATAATTCCGATAATCAGACAGATTTTGTTTTCTGGTAACTATTAGACTGTTTTTCATAATTAAAAAATACCAGAATATATTTTTGATTATAATTAGTGCGCCAGAAAAAAAAATAGAAAAAAAAGGGGGACTGGTGTCCTCTCTGAGTTAAAAAGTTAAGTATTTTTTCTAACATTACCATAAATACAGTAACGTATTTTCATACTAAATATAGTCAACAATCCGTACGTTTCAATTGTCCACAATTATTAAAGTTATAGAGAAATTCGACTAGCTTTATCGGATTTTCTAGAAGATTTTAATTTTATATTTAAAATGTTTGCAAAATTTATGTTCCTGTACTTAATTATTACCTTATAAATTTAATTTAAAATAATTTTGATAACCACTACATAAAAAAGAATGAACTTGTTGCTGCTTCTAATGCCATTGATAATACCAGCGAGCCTGCTTGGTAAAACCAAGCGAATTTAAGGTAGAGGGCTTGTATTTCAGTAGAGCTATCTATGGCCAAGAATACGTCTTCAGCCACAAACACGCGTCACAGCCAGTTTAATAGGGCGGACCTATTCATGTATCCATTCATTCAACCACATATCGTAATTTTGACCTGAACCAGAAATCGATCATTCTCCAATTCAGTACCCACAGAGATATTTATTGAATATATAGATTAAATATCATAGTAGCATCCAATGATGTGCTTAAGCTCTAGTGTAATATAGAAATATTTCTGCCTTATACCTACAAACTCCTCAGAATTTTCCAGAAGATTTCATTTTTTTATTTAATGTAGTAGCA